AGAAACAAAACTAGGTCCCCAGATAAGGCGGGGATAGGTTGTATTCAAACTCAGAGACCTCAGCCAACCCTGTTCAAGCCTAGATGCAGATACGCCACTGGTCAGAGATCTGGGCAGTGAGAAATCCCAACCAATTAACTATCTGAACCAGAGAAATTCAAAACCCCTATAAAAGAGGCAGCCATAATAAACTCAGGGCCGTTTGTTGAGGACCCTCAGTGAGTCTGTGTCGTCTCTGTCTCCAACTAACAACCCCCAGTGTAATATCTGGTGATTCCCGACATGAAGACAGCAGCTATCTTGTGAGTAGAATGGGGGGAGAAAGACAAAGCGTACATAAAGAGCTGGAAAACAGCAAAAAGCTGACAAAAAAATCAAAGCAAGCGTGGAGAGCCTCCAAACCAGCAGGGAAAAGCTGCAACAATACAGCATGGACAGCTGTTTGCAGTGGAAAGCCACCTAAATCTGGGTTCCTTTGTAAATACCCCTTATAAATAGAAGAAAAACCCCACTGGAAACATGGCAAGATGGATTTCAGCAGAGAAAAACCCAGTCAATAAGGTATGAACTGTGAAAAATGACAATCACTTGTGTTAAAATTTTAGAAGTTTAATAGTAATAAAAATTAGGACAATAAGAATTTGGACAATCAAAGTTAGGACAATAAAAGACAATAAAAAGCAAAGAATTATGAATGTCCGAATGCTTATCCATTCCTTGAGCTAGTTACAAAAAGTAACTTACATCACATAGTTTCTGTGAAAAATGCATATTAAGTGTTTGGCTCTTCACAAATATTAAATTGAATACTATATGTGTTATGTTGGAAAGTTATTTTGCAGTACTGCATTAATCCTTTTTAAGTAGTGTGGTAGATATAGTTTCAGGTTATAATATAATGTTATAATAGAAACTATGTGATGTAAGATTTTTTTTAGCTAGCTCAAGAAAGGGATGAGATAATCAAGAAATTCTTCATACAGAGGTAACACCAACAAGACACCTAAGAGTTACTGCCTCCTTATTGGAAAAGACAAACATCCTTCCACCTCCTCTCAGTCTTTAAGGAGCTACCAGGATTAAGGGGAAGAAGTTGACAATAGCCAGAGAACACCCTTTGTATGAAAAGAATTTATGCATCATGTATGAGTTATATGAATCGCAACAGGCTATTGCTTTTAAGGGTTAATCCTTTGTTAGCGAGCCATGCTTTCAAGAGAAAAGCATCCAAACATTCATAATTCTTTGCTTTTTATTGTCCTTTATTGTCCTAACTCTGATTGTACAAATTCTTATTGCTCTAATTTTTATTACTATTTTTATAACTATTTTACTACTATTAAACTTTTAAAAATTTAAAACAAGTTATTGGAATTTTTCAGTTTCTATTTTAATATTATGCTATAGTCAAAAAACTATATTTGCCACACTACTTAAAAGAGATTAATAGAGCATAACTTTCCAAAATAACACATATAGTATTCATTTTAATACTTGTGAAGAGCCAATCATATAATATTCACTGTTCACAATCCCTCCTCACTCTTTAAAAATCATTTGGCTTGAGCAATATTTCTTGTCCACTTGTATTCTTTGGACTAAGCTGGTAATCAAAGAAAACAGGGGATTAAACAAGGAAGAAATATTAAAACAGTTGTAACACATAAAAGGAAGAATCCTAATTTCTTCCACCAGCTGGTTTTGAACATTGTTTTCCAATTTTTGGACCAGTACCTGGGTTATTTTTTTCTGATATCTTTTGATTTTTTTTTTTTCCAGGATGATATCCCTGTTGTCTTCTATTTTCAAGAATCTGATATATTAAACTTTCCACAAACACCCCCTTCTTTAGCCAATAAATAGTCTAAAGCCAACCTATTCTGATACACTACAGTTTTTGTTTGGCCTTGCTGACTCAATATTAATTCCAATGCCTGAGCAGCTTTGTTTGTTATCATCTCTATAACTTCTTGGAGTCCTATTGAAGCGATACGCGGAATAAATAGACTCCACAACTTGGGGTAGTTATGAAGTGGGTATGTATTGTCAGCGCTCGGCACAAGTGAGATAGCTCTCCAAGACTTGTGCACTGAGCTCTGATCCAAGCCACATCTTTATTTACAAAGGTGTTCCATATTCAATACATTGCACAACTTTTCTATGCATATTCAACCCTGGGCACCGCCTGCCCTCGCCTCCCATGCTAATTAGGTCCACGCCCTTCTGGGCATGTGTGGTTTTGCTGTGGTGGTCGTGCGGGGGTCCCTCGGTGGTCTTGAGGCTGAAGATTGCGAGTCTTCCTCATGTCTGAACATTTGAACCCTTCCTCTCTGCACATGTGCTTTCGGTCTCTTGGTGCTTATCTGTGTATCTGTGACAGCTGGGAGACTTACGAGGGTCTTAATCTGGGTTTCTCGCATTATTGGGTACTGTTTATTTATGTAAGAAGCTTCAGAAATTTACATTTCCTTTGGCCTTTGACCCATGGTAGAGATTTCTTACTTAGAAGGTTAAAGATTAACACATAATTTTACAAGCTAAAATATAAATGCTTAATTCATTTTTTTTTAACTTAAGTGAATTCTAAAAATCTCTGTTTCACTATAACACGATTCAGTATATAATGTGGGGTCAATACAAAGTTAGATTGCTGTGCTAGTTTTGTTTACTGATTCCTTTTTCCCAAATCTTGGACTATATCTCTAAGATCAATTGTAAAACAAATCAATTTCTCTCTGCTTGGACATTCCATTCCCTATCTATTTCCACTTTTTCCTAAGTTCCATGTATTCCAATATTTTTCTCCATTTTGCCTGCAGGTACTTAATTTGCATGGGTTGTAACAGTGGCTGATGACATGGGTGTTTGTAACTATTCTGGTTTGAAAGCAAAACCAGTGAGAGACTCCAAGTCAGAAATACAATTTATTAGGAAAAGGGAAAAGAAATAAAATACACTCAATAATACAAAAGAAAAAGCACTAACGAAGTCAGAATACAACCTGACACCCCTGTGGCCAGCGTGTTGATAGCAGTCCAAATTGCTGTGGCTGCAGATCTCCTGGAGTGGAAGATGTGGTTCTGTTGGAGCAGTGGTCCTGCAGAAGGGTGTAGTCTCCCTCTGAAGGTCCAATGGAAAGCCCCAGCTGTTCCTTTTGGAAACCTGTGGGAAGTCTGACTGCTCTGTCCCAAACTCCAGAATATATCTAGGTGGGGATGCTTAAATTCTCCCCCTGGGCGGAGTATCTCACAATGGGCTGATGTCATTCTGAGTCATGTGGTGGGTCCTTTATTACCCGTTAAACAGAAATGGCTCCTGAAGGGAGTTATCTCTGAGTCATGTGGCAAGACATTAATGGACCCATTAACAGGTGATAAGGAAAACTGCCCACTTAACACAGATGGCAATAGAAAACATATTGCTTCTCAATCTCAGACATTATCCACCACCTCGATTGATGGATCTTCGGGTGTTGACCATCCAGGTGGCTTTTGCTAAGTTCAGTTCCCAATTCATGAAGGTTCCTCTGCCAAGTGCCTTCAGGGTAGTCTTAAGTAGTCCATTGCATCGTTCAACTTTCCTAGCAGCTGGTGCATGATAGGGGATATGATATATCCATTCAATACCATGTTCCCTGGCCCAGGTGTTGATAAGACCGTTCTTGAAATGGGCTCAGTTGTCCAACTCAATTCTCTCAGGTGTGCCATGTCTCCACAGGACTTGCTTTTCAAAAGGGGGCATACAAATTAAAGAAAGAAACAAAAAGGATAATTTAATGGAAGCGACCCCTAAAGATGGACAGTCAGTGCACAAAATACATAGAAGGAATACTGAGGTAATATCAATCCCAGCCTGTGACAAATGTAACCGCACAGTGTAGATTGGAGGGAAGAGAGAATCAATTTTGTACCTTTTTTCCAAGCAAATGCATTATGTTATGGTTCTGATAAACTAGAAATGTGTGTGATGGGGGGCAAAACATACTGGGTAGGAAACAATTTGAAATATGAAAAAAAGGTGCCTCTCAAAAATGAACTTATCATCCTGGATGTCCTGAAGGATCAGGATGACAAGGTTTGTCTACAATATGAGAAAACATTCTGCTTTCCAAGGGATAAGGAGGGGATGGACCCAGAGAATAAAATTAAACAAGTAACCCAAGAAAGAAAAAGAGAGGAGGCCGAAATGAGGAGGAAAAGGGTGGAACAAGAAAGATTAATAACACTAAGTGAACAATATGATCAATTGGAAAAACAATACACAAATTGGGGCTTACCAGCCTAAGATCAGAATCTATTTTTGGCTCTGATGCAGGAGATCGCCACGGCATTGGGTGTGTCTCATTGTTGGATCTGTGGTGGACTTAAGTCTGCTGAGAAATGGCCTTGGAAGGGTGAGAGCTTAACCCCAGAGCAATTATTAAATAGGAAAAATTATAAGGCCCCAAAAATCACTCAACAACCCAAAGGGCAGGTCCTAGATACCAGGGTGATTGGGATATTCTGTCTCAGCAGAGAAGGGAGGGAGTATTCCGAAGTGGTGGGGTACACCCCATGTGTATCTACTCTAATTGTAAATTCCACTAACAAAAGCAAAGTCTGGCAACCAGAAAACCATACTGGGTACAGGAGCCAGGAAAGAAAGGGTCAGTGTGAATGGAGCGATAAGCTGGGACTCCATTGGAACACAAGCCCTGGGCCAAACCCTTTCCAATCACTGAGCGAGCTAAGTAGGTACTGGGAAGAACCCGAGAGAGTCAAAATAAGTTGGAAAGCACCAAATGGCCTGTATTGGATCTGTGGGAAGAAAGCTTGCAGTGAGCTCCCACAATGCTGGAGAGGATCGTGTACGGTAGGACTGATAAGACCTGTTTTCTTCACCCTACCCTGATCTGAAAGTAGCTCACTGGGGCCACTGAGGAGGGCACACTACCAGATACCCCTTGGCTCACCTGGAAATGCCAAGACCCGATCTGGATTGACCAGTGGCCCCTCTCTAAAGTAAAACTGCCCACACTACAAGCCCTTGTGGAAGAACAGCTCGCCAAAGGTCACATTGCCAAGACCACCAGCCCTTGGAACTCTCCAGTCTTCATACTACAAAAACCTGGAACGGACAGGTGAAGGCTGCGGGGGCGTGTTTTTTATTCCTTCAGTGTCTGTTCATACCTACCCCCCCCCAGCTCATTCCTAACCCCCCTTCTCTCCAAGATGTGAATCTTCCCTTTCCCTGCCCCTTTCCCCAGAACAGTCCCTGTCTATTTAGTGAGGCTCAACATCCTATTGGTTACTTTGTGTTACTCCACTCCCTTGTTTTCCCTGATAGGTTTATGATATGTTAGTTCTGCCCTAAACTCCCCTGCTATTCCCCTATTAGTTACTGTTCCTATGCCCCTCCTCCTAAGTTCTTGTATAAAACCCTTTGTCTGCCCCCCCCCCCAAAGTGTCTTGGGCCACGCTGAATAAACCCATCCTGTTCACCCCCAAGTCCCGTGTCGCCTCCATCTGTCCCCGCGCCAACAACTGGGACTGCAGAGCTTCGCAGGAGGATCGGCCGCCCCCCTCCTCTTCCCTCGCCGCCCAGCACGCCCGCGCTCGGGGTGTCGCGGTGAAAGGGTGCCAACCGCGACGCAACAGATGGTAGCAGAGGATGGTTCCCTCTTTCGTCTTGTAAAACAAACGGGCAAATTCGTGGGGGCGCCCGCCTCACGGAAGAAGAAGGAGGGAAGAGGAACATCTGCAGCTGTAGAAGCTCTGCCAGACGCTAAGAGGAGCCGAGCGCCAAGCAAAAAGAAAATTCGGCTCCGGGACCTTCTTTGTTCTCGCCTCTGCGCTCTCTACCCCCGCCGAGGTCAGCCGTACTGCACTGGAGCAGACGTGCTGCAAGGGCGGGTAGACCTACTCTGGGACAAAGAGGGCGGTTTGGCAGCAGCTCAAGGGAGCCCGAAGAATGGCACGTCAGGGGACGGCACCGGAACGAAACCACCAGAGGCCGATAGTGGCCAAGCCCAAAGCTTCAGGGACGAGCCTTGGGTGCAGCCAAAATCGGCTGAACCTTCTTGCAGGTCCCGGGAACACCCAAGCCTCTGGAAGGGCCAAACTGAGGAGGAACGTCCCCAGTTCGGCGACTTTTCCACCAAGTCGAGGAGAAGAATCAAGTCATCTCCACCCGGGCCCCAGAGGGTAAGGGGGGCTAAAACGGGGTGGGGTCCGCTCCGCCGGGTGGCTGGGTTTCCCATTTTTTCTTTTTGCATTTTAACCCTTGCCCGTGCTCAGACGGGGGCTGTATTCTTGCATGTCCCTGGCGGGTGAGTGGGTTTTTCGTTTCTGGGGGGGGACGTCCCAGGCACTCCTAACCTAGTCTTTTATGGGGACTCATATTTGATTGCTTTTTCTTCCCCTCAAAAAGTCGTCTTCTCTATCCTTTCCTCCCCAATCTGGGCTGGACGGAGGGGGTAGAAAAGACACAAGTGGGACAAATGTTTAGAAGGCGGCATGTTAACTATAGCAGGGTTGGTAAAAGAAGCCCTTTACACCCACGCATTGCATCGACATCCAGCTGCGTCGAGCTCCCCTCCTGTAAATTTCCCTTTTTGCTTCTGTGAAGATCCCCATACCCTCTTCCCCTCGGATTTTCCTAAACTTTTCCCTATCTTCCCTTGGGGATGGCTGTGGCCAAGCCACCCCAGGTGCCCTGCCGGGCACTGCTGTCTTCCCTTGGGGATGGTGTTGGCCGCGCCACCTCTGGGGGGGGGGGCGCAGTGCACCCGGCACCCCCTTACAAGATGGCGCGGGCCACGCCACTTGTAACATGTTTACCCGCGCTGATCCTTCTCTTCCGCCCCTGGTTTCCCGCCAGCCCCACCCTCTCCTCAAGGGCCCCGACAATCAAAATTGCCATGAGGCTAGTCTCTGTTGGGGGGAGGCGGGTTGGATATTCCCTAATCCTTCTTCTGGCTCCTCCTCTGGTGGGACGGATCGCTGTCGAGGACCTCCCATCAGAGGACCCTCCTTCTTAGGAGATCACTCCCCTTCTCGGGGGGGTCTCCTTTGAGGGAAGGTGGGGCTGAAACCCCGGACCAGAAACCCGCCATTTTGTCTTCCCCCTAAGATGGCGGCACCCTGGTCCACCCCTTACCGATTCCCCTTATTAATCATGACAGTCACTAATCAAGTGATTGTCTGACTCCCCTATCCCATTCCTTAATGTACCCTATCCAATGTTCCCTTTTATTTCGCTATTAATTCTCCTTATTGTTTTTGATCATTTTTGGAATAATCTATTTGTTGATTTATATTTTATAGAAAGAAAGATCATCCTATTTAGTTTATACCCACGGTAATATGCCCACTCCAGAAATAAAGAATGAAATTGGATAAACCAGGTCGCCGCTTGCCGCCTTAACTCTGCTATACGAATTTCGTGAAGGCGAACATTTCAAGTGCCGCGACAGCCCAAGTTTCAAATCAAATCAAGCTATGAATCCTGCTGAGTGTTTTACCCCAAATTCAGAATTTGTTTATGACAATTTTATACGCTTAAAGTTATTTTATTGTAATTGTAATTAATTTGTACTTTTCTGATGTTTTTCAACTTATTTCTGTTTAGTAATTTGTAATGTTACTATATGATTTTGTTGTGTTTTGTATATGAAGTTTATATTATTTATATGCGGTACTAATTTGTTTAAACGTCAGAACTCTCCTTCCTTTTGTAAAAAGAAAGGGGGAGATGCGGGGGCATGTTTTTTATTCCTTCAGTGTCTGTTCATACCCCCACCCAGCTCATTCCTAACCCCCCTTCTCTCCAAGATGTGAATCCTCCCTTTCCCTGCCCCTTTCCCCAGAACAGTCCCTGTCTATTTAGTGAGGCTCAACATCCTATTGGTTACTTTGTGTTACTCCACTCCCTTGTTTTCCCTGATAGGTTTATGATATGTTAGTTCTGCCCTAAACTCCCCTGCTATTCCCTTATTAGTTACTGTTCCTATACCCCTCCTCCTAAGTTCTTGTATAAAACCCTTTGTCTGCCCCCCCCCCCAAAGTGTCTTGGGCCACGCTGAATAAACCCATCCTGTTCACCCCCAAGTCCCGTGTCGCCTCCATCTGTCCCCGCGCCAACAACTGGGACTGCAGAGCTTCACAGGGGGATCGGCCGCCCCCCTCCTCTTCCCCCGCCGCCCAGCACGCCCGCGCTCGGGGTGTCGCGGTGAAAAGGTGCCGACCGCGACGCAACAGAAGGCTCCTCTACGACCTTTGAAAAATCAATGAGGTCATCGAGGACATGGGCCCCCTCCAGCCTGGCCTGCCTTTACCATCGATGCTGCCTCGAGACTGGACACTTGCCATCATAGATATTAAAGACTGTTTCTTCAGCATTCCGCTGCACCCCCAGGATGCTCCACGGTTTGCTTTCTCCGTACCCTCTCTTAACAGAGGCTCCACTCAAAAGATACCATTGAATGTATCTTCCCCAAGGACTAAGTCTCGCCTACTATATGCCAGTGGTACATTGCTCACATCCTGTCTCCTGTTCGGAACCTATTTCCTGATGCAATCATCTACCACTATATGGATGATATCTTGGTCTGTGCATCAGAAAAAAATTACTTAGAAAAAGCAGTTAAAGGGACAATTTCCAACACCTCTGTACCCTATATCAACCCCCATCTCTGCCCAGTTTGGCAGAAAAGCTGTCACTGTCCCCTTCACAGGAGCTGAAATTAAAGGACACCACTGTGGAACCACATACAGCCTTCTCCTCTCTCTACCCCTATGCATCTGCCCGAGGAACTTGCGAGCACCAAGATGAAATCACTATGAGCTGAATTTACCAGAGGTGAAATCACTCCAGAGTTGCTCGCTAAGTTTGTCTGCGGCTGGAAGCTAGCCTGAAGGACCCAGATAGGCTGAACTTAACAGCCTAGCGCTATCTGGGACACCTACGGCAGTGACAGCTGGGGGTCGCACAGACCCCCGAGCTCCAGGCTGCATTATGTCGTGGCAACACCGCAATTCGGACACAGTGTTGTCACCGAGTCAGACTCAATCAGAGGCAGAGGTTGATCTGAAGGCCCCCTGTTGAAACTCAAAAGGTCCCTCAGACATTTTTGGAGGTTCCAGGCCCTGGTCAGAGGCATTTGAGACCCTGGCAGGAAGCTGGAAACAGCTGTGATTTTGAGTTTGAGCCATGGAATGATTTACCAACTTGGCAGGAAGAACAAGAAGTCACAAAAGTTTAGATAATTTAGTAGAGGGGAAAATTTTTTAGTATTGTACAAGGGGGTTTTAACACCTGTACAGGGGGGGTTTTACTTTGTACATGGGGGTCAGAGGTTTTAATTTGGGGGAATGTAGGCTGGTCCTGTTCCTCCTCTTTCTTTTTCCTTGCTTCCATGTTCTTGATGATGTTGGCACTCTATTGGTTTAGAATAGAAGAGCACCATTTAATATAGGTAGTAGGTATTGGGGAAAAACTGTAAACATTTATCATGTAATGTACCATATAAAAGATAGCAGCAGCCCAGGGGTGGGGGGAGAGAAGAAGAAGACAAGAGTCAGAGAGGGTGTCAGGGGTGTGTGTGCCTCTGCCTGAGCTACTGACCAAACCGCAGTAGCCAGAGAAGACAATCTTTTAGATAGCTTGCAATAAACTGCCTTGAGACCGAACAACAAGTGACTGCTGAGTTTTCTTTGGAAGCATGGGTTGGAGGAGAGATTTTTACACCACACGGAACCCCTGAACCAGGCCTGAACACACCCCTACCACCCCTGAGCACTGGGAAGTCACAAAGAGAGGGCGGTTCTTCCCCCAGCCCCCCACCTCCGCTCCACAGGGCGGGGCGGGGTGGTGGAGCCGGCTCCACTGAGCCCCCAGAAGCCTGCAGGGCTCCGTCCACCAGCTGGTCGCTTGGGCCCAGCTGGCTGGGAGACAGATCCACCCCGGAGGCGGAGCCATCTTCCGGCTCACCATCCCGGGGAGAAGGGGAAGCAAGCTCAAATTCCCCTTCATCCACATTCGAGATGAAAGGGTCCCCCAGGGAACTCCAAGAGATAAAAAATCCAGACCCCTGCCAAACCACATCTAAAATTTCCCATTGCATCAACAGTGGTCCCACGTCTACAGAGCAATCATCAAACAGGGCATCCATGAGACTGCCTCCCACGAGAGACCATGTCTCCCAGGAGAGTGCCTCCGCAGGGTTGGAAAAGAACCCTTGCTGCCTGGCCCACAGGAACAACCTCTTTAAATCATTCCAGGAAACGGAAACACGTTTCTTCTCCAGGAGGTCCCACCAAAGGTCCAAAACCTGAGATTCTATCATGAAACCCATGGAGGTTTCCATCACCAGAACAGCAGGCAAAGCGCCAAAGAGGAGGGAGGGGGTAAGCACGATCTCACCCAGCCTAAGCTGCAATGCACTTCGGCAGTCACCAGATGTCACTATAGGACCAAGAAAACATGATGCACACTGCTCTTGTGAAGGTAAAAAGGGGAAGTTTATTTCTGACTCTAACATTTATAGTTTTCCAAAGGTGACAGTGGATTGGAGGGTGAAAGTGCCACCTCTCCAATGACACTGGACAAACTACCAGTCCATCAAATTTCTCCTCCTCTATGAAGGAATGCAAAAACAATAAGTTATTTACAGAAAGTTGTGTGAGAAAGTTTGCTACAAGAATGCTCAGAAGGCTTTAGAAAATCTTAAAAAATTAGGGCGACAGACTGACTGCTCTGTCCCAAACCCCAGAATATATCTATGTGGGTATTCTTGGCTCCTCCCTCTGGGCAGAGCATCTCACAATGGGCTGATTTCATTCTGAGTCATGTGGTGGGTCCTTGATTACTGGTTAAACTGAAATGGCTCCTGGAGGGAGTTATCTCTGAGTCATATGGCAAGACATTGATTGTCCCATTAGCAGGAGATAAGGAAAACTGCCCACTTAACACAGATGGCAAAAGAAAACATCTTGCTTCTCAATATGGGACAGTAACAAAAAAGGAACTTTGCTTTCTTTCCATGTAATTCTTCCTGTCCTAGTTTAGGGCAAATTTGGGAGAAAAACCTCTGGAAGAAGCCCTCAGAAAACAAACCCCCACGTCCCCTCCCCACCCACCTGGTTCAGGAAGAATTTTCTCGGAGAGAAGTGGAAAAGAACCTGTTTATTTAACAGACAAAACACTCCCCAGCACCAGAAAATTAACAACACCAGATGACAAGAAAACTCTTTCACCACTCTGAAGAGATGACAAATCCAGAAAGTCTCTCCTGGGAGTGGTTGCCCAGGTCTGGGAGCTGGGGATTGGTCTCCTGCACTGGTGATGGCTGCTGCAGATCACAAAGCGCAGGCTCTCGGTGTTTCTCAGTGTTTCTCAAGTCCCAGTCCAGAGCAGGTTGGAATGATATTCAGGAAAGGGAAAGGGAAAAGGAAAAAAAAAAAAAAAAAGTCCAGGGAAAAAAATTGGACTGCTTAGCTAAACTAACAAGAAAAAGCAAAGGCAAAAGCAGAAGCAGGAGCAAGAGCAAGCAAGCCAAGACAGCCAGCACTAGCCTCTTCTAGACAACAGACCATAGAGGGGAGGTGAGCTGGCTGATCAAAAGACAAAACAAACCTTCACTTTCAGAGTCAGTTCTGAAAGCACAGAACATAATATCAAACATAAACAGAACACATGATTGGGGATGCAAGCACCATAATGTCACCCTATGACAATTTGTGACATCATCTTGCTGGTATCTTGAAAGGGAAAAGACAACAAAATGAGTGAAAGAATCAGGAATAACAGAGGTCTGGTATGGCTTATACCCCCACCTCCTCTGCCTATGGAATTGCTTCCCATAGCAGGTATACAGAATCTTCTCGGTGGCAAGTACAGTGGTCAATCCAGTCTTGCTGTTTCCTCTGTCACTCCTTTTTTACTAATTTTTTTGGCAAGTAGTTTTCGACACTCCTTAGCTGTGGCTTCCCACCGTGCCTCAGGTACCTTTCAGTCAACAGGCACTAATAATTCCCATCCACAAAACAAAGTTACTACTTCAGTTGTTTTGGGTTCTATCTGTATAGGGGATAGATTCAGTACTTGATACTTCTTGCAACGAGAACGTAGATTCTGTGAGCTACAATACCAATTATTCTCATAATTTAAACTTTTATTTATAACCCAGCTAACGTGTCCAGTATTGGGATGAATCAAATAAAGGATACAGTATAGTACTAATGGTAATTTCCCTTCTTCCCTGTACAAGTCACAGGCTGAGGCCAGAATATAAACTCTTTGACTAAAACAGTCGTGATCCTCCTGTTTGAAGTGGCAGTATGCCTCTCCCAAGGAGGTGTTGGAGGCATCTCAGGGCTTATTCAGGCAGTGCATTCACATGTATCTGCCTGAGGATTTCCATGATATCCATCTCGGGTCGTTCACTCGATGATCAGCGCCTGGGGTCCCCATATCTCTCCAGATATGGCCCATCTCCTGGCCAAGCCACATCCTTGTGAATCGGGTTTCAACATACACCAGGTTTCGCCTGCGAGGGTGGGGGGGAGTCCTAATACAAACATGTATACTCTAACAAATATTCAATATCACATATATCATATTAGAAATGGCACGAATTATATCTACTACACATAACAAAACCTTCCCGTCCTTCTAAGGATATAGGACACATATGGGACAATCTTCTCTCTCAAGTGTGACCCTTATAGGGTCTATATCTAATCTTCCCCTATTTCCTTCCCCAGCCCAGATTTCCTTGTTATTATTTCGTTTTTTATCTTTCTGGCCAAGTTTTAAAACTCTAGCTGTCATTTTCCATTCTGGTATAATCCCTAGTCCTAGTTTTACCTGTAAATTTCTTCTTAATAAGTTGCTACCTACCCCAGGAACCAATAAGGCATCCTCCATCTAAATTTTAGTTCTGTCCCTCAATTACCACATCTTTAACAACAGGAACTGTGAAACTCTCTCCTTTTGCCCCTATTACCTTTACAGTATCTTTGCTCACACTATAACCTTTTGGAATATTTAACAGGCAGGTTCTTTCTGACCCTATGTCTACCACAACTTCTAATTCTTCTTCTTGAGGGCTCACTTTTAAAGTTATCACCGGCTCCAGATGGTATTTGCCCCCTAAAATATAGAGCTTATGACTTCTCTATTCCTCTTCTGTGCCCATCTCTCAGAAGATTTTCAGATCTTTTACCTGATTAGTACAATTTCTCTTATAATGTCATCAGTCTGTCTAACTATTCAGTTGGAGTTTCTTATTTCTCTCATAAAAGCTGTTCCTGAAAAGCCTTTTTTTTTTTTTTTTTTTTTTTCTATTTCGTCTTCGGGATCCGTCTCTTTTATTCAGTTTGTTATAAATGAAAATTTGTCCAGCCAAATTAATATGAAAAAATAAATTATTTATTTTGCAATCAAATTTTATCTAGCCAGCCACAAGGAAAGAACAGAGCCGAGCCCGGGGTTGGCCCTGGGTGTGCAACAAGGAGTCAGCCTCATCAGAGGTTTTCCTCCATGCCCACCCACCTCCATCCTGGCACAAGCGACTTTTATAGGGAAAATTCCGCCTGAGGCCAAGATTTTTGCAATCAGTCCTTTCTTCTATTCAGAGTCCATATGTTAATAATTCAGTGTCCGGAGTTGTTGAATCCCGTGATGAAATTTACGGGAACGCTGCATTCACATGTATCTGTCCGGGGATCTCCAAGATATCCATCTCGGGTCGTTCACGCGATGATCAG